GCGCGCTTCCTAAAATAGGATTCCATGTTGTGTATCTGGGCGTCCAGCAGGACACCCACAGAGGTGTAAAAGATGACTCATGCTCAGCAGCTTTATTCTAGCCTCCATTTTAACATGTTATCTCTGTGATAAATTCCTGCCTGCTGCTATAACATCACTATGATAGATGGCTCTGCATGTCACAGCTTTGTCTGGTCAATCTCTCTGTTTATATGATCTCAGCCCCTGATAAACCACTGTCTTTATACTACATCTGTGTGCTCATGTGTGCCTGTAGACACATTTTCCTCAAATATGTCTGAACATGATTTGTGTCAGCTTAGTGTCATTTCATCTGCAGCGTGAGTTGCACAAAAGAAGCTTTGACACACACTCCCCCCCTCCCTCCCTCACTCCTCCACCTTGCCCTGTTAACCACATGTGTAATGTGTTTGTGTTTTGACTTGTGTTTCAGAGAAGCTGAAATTTACCCCGACTCCTCAGCCTTCCCAGTGCCTGGAGTTGGATAACGAGATCACCATCCAGTGCTCCGCCACGGGCCGAGAGACCCCGACCATCCGCTGGACCAAAGCAGGTGCGCGCCCTGCTAGGTTAACCTCAGCTTTAAATCAGATAAGGGGCGACTGTCGAACGTTGTCTCCTCCAAAATGCAGTGGTAGCCTTGACTCTTATAATGACAGATGCTATTTCTACAAGAATTTGTAGAAACCACACAGAGTCTTCAACAAACAGAGTGTCGGGGAGATTAATCATCACACATCACTTCCCTCTTTGTTCGCATCAGGAGTCAAATTAACCACTTGAATACCACAGCACCAGACTCGGCCTCCTTAACCCCTCTTGTCCCCTGTGTGTGTCTGTCTCCCCCTGCAGACGGAGGAGAGGTGCCGCCCCACGTGGAACAGAGGAACGGCCAGCTCCATTTCTCCAAAGTCACCCGCAGCGACGCCGGCAACTACACCTGCATTGCTTCCAACAGCCTCCAGGGAGAGATCCGAGCCCTGGTGACCCTCACCGTGGCCGGTAAACTCGCTCGCCTATCATCCCGGAAACAGGGAATTATGAAAGAGACGGGGCTATATTAGTCACCAGTCCCACATCGAAAGTACTTGTGGTCTCGGTACATGTGAGGGCTGTTTAATGACAAGGCAGCCGCTGATCATTCTCATCAAGCTTCAAAAGCAGCACCGTTTATGATGTAGTTGGTGGCCTTTTTTATAGCCCAGTAATGAGTTGCATTGGGGTTGTAGGGAGTGACTGAGAACCACAGTCGCCACAGTTTTCAGTCTCTGAAGGAGGTGTTTTGGCCCAGTTGTGGTCTGAATGTTATGTTAATGAGCTTTCGCTTGTTTGTGTTTCCGTGTGTGCACATATAGTGTACATTCACTTTAAGGTGGAACCAGACAATACAACGGTGTACCAGGGACACACGGCCATCCTCCACTGTCAGGCCACAGGTGACCCCGAGCCTCACATCCACTGGATGGTCAAGGACAAGGCGCTGGACATCACTAAGAACAGGAGGTAAATGAGACACTCAACTATCATGGATGAGGATACAGTTTGTCATTACAGATTCAAAGTGGCTTCTCTGCACGTTAGTTATAGATTTAGCTTGTACTTGTAAAATAATACACACATGAAGACAAAGTATCTCAAGCAAGAGTGTCGCATTCAAACAAATAAAAGTTGTGACATTTACTCATTTTATTGTAGTTTCTCTTACGTATGAACTGCATCTATGAAGTTTGTGATTTTTTTTCAGACTGGTCATTTGTAGCATGACCAGATGTTTGTGTAACAACAAAAAAAATCCTAATCTAAATTTTTTTTTATTTTTTTGTTGTATGTTATACTAGAATAAAAAAAATAATAAAATAACCATCGTGCAAAATTGATGTTCTGTGTACTGTAATCAGCATTGCCATTTCAGAGAGGACTTATTTTGTTTGTCTTTTAAGCTTTATTGGAATATTTTTGTATTGCAACTTGTACATTTCAGCTGGTAAGAAGGCTCGAACAGCTTCCCTGAGGTCTTTAGTCATACATTTGTGGCTCTCACATCTTTCACATCAAGCCGTCTTTGTTAGATAGTTAGATACTGATGTTTTTAAATGTGACGCTTCATGTCAATTCGTTCTCTCTTGTCTCACCCTGCTCTGATGACACTGCTGAACTTGGTGTTTTTTTACATGTGATCTCTGTTGTGTGAAGCTTTTCTCTTTACATTTGAGTAACGCTTGGTGAATGGAACAAAACACACAGCATTGCAAAACAATGATTGTTGATGATGCTACTAATCAAAAATCACAAGTACACGCTTTCTCCTGAACTAAGAGCACACAGCAGATTGAAACAAGCCGTTTATGACAAGTTTTAGTTGAATTTAACAATTGTCTTGCAAACTAGACTCAAAAAAGTAAGGGTCAGGATAAGGACATGAAATTTTTGCGTGTGACCTACTTTAACACTCCTACTACTTTTAATTTCCTGACATCTTTTATCCTCGGGGTCAGTTTGGCCCCAGCAATTTAAACCTCCACAAAGTTATCATAATAAAAATTGTTACCCAAGTTTATGTGTAAATAGCTCTTTCAATAAAACTTTAAAAAAATATGTCAATCATTTATTTAGAGATGTTAAACATTGAATGGGGTCAAATTAACCCCAAAGATAACAGGAGGGTTAAATAATCTTAAAGTACATTGGTATACACATCACTTTTCATCAAGTTGCCAGTGAGCTTATACACATGCATATATATATATATATATACTTGCATATCAATCTTACCTGTGTGTTTAGGTTGATTTTTATTGCTTGTTTTAAAGATGATGCCTGTATATATTTAGGTAGGTAGGTAGGTAGGTAGGCCTACATTGGCTTTTAGGTGCATCAGTGGCTTGATTTTTTTTTTTACTCATAATGCATTACTGACAAACATAAAATGAATGATGCCTCCTGCTAAAATAATACCAGAAAATTGTCTTTTGCCCTTTTCTGCTGTCAGTATATTAGTCTGACATGCCAGCTTCTGAAAATACTATACGTTACTCAAGATCGCTTTCTTTTGTTGGCAATGGATAACCGCTTTAGCAGTGGTCAAGCAAATTCCTCAGAATTATCATGACTGACAACCAAGGACCCCATGCTGGTTTTCAAGACACAAGAGACTTAACGCCCTCAGTAGGAAATTTAAATTTTTGAATTATGTGCCATTCTAGCCTCCTACTCCTTCCTCCTTTAATGTGAAATGAGGGCAGACCTTCACCTTTATCTGTCTCATTCCTTCTGTCTTCCAGGTTCCAGAAAATGCCCAATGGCTCCTTGTTAATTTCAGATGTCACTACAGATGACACAGGCAGATACACATGCGTGGCCGGAAACAGCTGCAGCATCAAGTACCGTGTTGCTCAGCTGTATGTAGTGGGTAAGTCTGACACGCACGCAAAAACATCCTAACACAGGCTCTTTTTATCAGCAACAAAGGTGCACACATGGGCCGTCAGCCACGGTCACAAGTGTAGGATGAAGGCATTCATTAAACTCTCGGCCTTTGCCTGTCATGCGTGTCGACAGGTTAATAACCATGGCCGCATCTCTGACACCACAGCTGTCACTGAGGTGATGGGATTGGGCAGACGTTGGATCTAATAACGCCTCACGCTCTGAGACTCGTTGTGTGCTAAAGCTGAAAATTACAGTCACACACTTGCACTAGTGTCCCATGTCAACTCATTTTCTCTGTAAGTAGCAGGATGGTATTCCAGCTTAGCGAGGAGACAATTGAATTTAGATGTTTGTTGCAGCTTGTTGGGTCAGCGTGACTGTAATGCTCACCTAAGCCAGACTGGGAAACAGTGCAGAGAAATTAAGTGACTGTTTTGAAGTAGATCTGTGGTTTTAACCGTTGTCATACTTTTGACATTTTGTTTGAGAGGGAAACAATTGTTTCATAGGTTAAATTTCGCAAATCATAGCTGTAGTGGATCACCACAAAACCACATCTGAAGTGATTTAATATGTTCTTCATTTTTTTATTTACTCAGAATTTTATCTTGCAAATCTATTCTTGGAAAAAAACAAAATTTGCATTCCTCTTATGCTACAATTGCTGAAACAGCAAAATGTACTGAAAGATGTAACACAATATGAGATGTAAAAGTTATTCTTGTTACTTTCCTATACTTCCTAAGTGCATTTTACTTGACCATAATTGCCACTCGGCCCAACAGACAAACCCATGGCTTTTCCTGATGGAGATGAAGACAAGGCTCCTTACAAGATGATCCAAACCATCGGTCTGTCAGTGGGAGCAGCCGTGGCTTATATCATTGTAGTGCTGGGACTCATGTTCTACTGCAAAAAGAGACGCCACGCCAAAAGACTGCAGAAGGGCCAGGACGGAGAGGAGCCCGAGATGGAGTGTCTTAATGGTAGGAATGTTGATAAATTAGGGGTTAGACGGTTGTAAAATCATTCAAGAGGTTGTCACATGTCCTCAAGTTATCATCCTCTAAAGCATTCAAATGTATAGAGCATTTGCTGCCATCATGTGGTCATTCTAGGTGTTACACACAACATGTAAAAAGCCACGAGATTTTTCTGCATACTCGGGATCCTAACTGTACAATTGAGACATATTCTAAATAAACCACTTAGAAATATCTTAGGGCTGGTTGATAGTGCTGACAAATGCATGCAATCATGATATTAAAAAAAAAAAAAAAGACAGAGGGTTACCAGGGTGGGCTGCAAGGTGGGGTGGCGTAGTTGGTAGCACTGTTGCCTTCGCGTCCCGGAGGGAGGCACCGGGATCTTTCGCCCTAAGTCGGCTGGGATAGGCTCCAGCCCCCCCGTGACCCTAGTGAAGGTTAAGTGGTGTATAGATAATGGATGGATGGATGGATGGATGGTTACCAGGGTGAAACTGCTGCTAGCACTGATGTTAGTTAGTTGGTTTTGAGCTGGTGGCCAAGACCGGGTATCACTGGATGTGCACCTTAACGTCAAGTCCTTCAGGCCTCAGTGGAGCTTGCCAGCATTGCAGGTGGAGGTAGTGGGGACCACATGCAGGGTTGTGGGTGTTTGTAGACCAGGAAGTCCATCCCTTCAAGGAAGGTGTGTAGGGGTGGATGGAGGCCCAGGAGGCAGCAGACTAGTGCGCCTCAGGAGACCTGCAAGATGGAGAGTGACACAGGACGAAGGGTCGCAGTTATCAATAGATGTGATATAGGTTGTTATGATCTGGGGAGGGGTTGTTCATGCAACATTGCATTTTCTTTGTACTTCGCATCTAATGCATTTTACATTTGCAGAAACTTTTTTTATTGCTATTGATGTCACCAGTACATCCCATTATCTATTTATAACCATGGTCTATGTTTTATGCGACATTTGACCCAGTGGGATGTGTGTTGTGTTCATCAGGTGGAGCTGTTCAACAAAATGGCCACACCACAGCTGAGATCCAGGAAGAGGTGGCACTGACCAACATGGGAACCATTGCAACAACTGAGAAACGCCACAGTCACGTCAATGACAAGCTGCACTTTCCCCGAACAAACCTACAAACCATCACTACTTTAGGTACTTTATACAGTTCTGTTTTATATTTACTGAGAATAAATATCCAAGTGCTCTGATTTAGTAGAAAGTCACCTGATCTTAAGCTGCAATTTCAACTTAATTTCATTTCAGTGTTGATTTCTGTGCATCTACTCTGACATTTGCTTTGTGTCGTGTGAATGTTTGCTCAGGCAAAGGGGAGTTCGGTGAGGTGCTGCTGTCTAAAGCTAAGGGTATCGAGGAGGTCGAGGAGGAGACGGTGGTGCTGGTGAAGAGCCTGCAGACCAGAGACGAACAGCTCCAGCTCGACTTCCGCCGCGAGGCCGAAATGTTCGCTAAGCTGAGCCACCCTAACGTGGTCCGCTTGTTGGGCCTCTGCAGGGAGGCAGAGCCGCACTACATGATCCTGGAGTACTATGACCTGGTAACCACACAGGAGCAATAGCACACACACACATTTAAGGATTATAGAAATCATTTTTTCCTGATACAATGCTCTGTCTTTTTACTTTTGTCATACCAGGGAGATCTAAAGCAGTTCCTGAGAATTTCCAAAAGCAAAGACGACAAAGTCAAGTCTCAGCCTATCAGCACCAAGACCAAAGTAAGAATTGTACCATGATTGGCAGCTCACAGCAACCTGCACACCAACTTCAACACATAGAACAAAAATAGAAATGTATGCCAGTTGACCTGTTCCCATTCTTTGCAGGATTATGATGCCTTCAAGCATTTTAAACATTTCGGAAAATATACTATATGCTGAGGGGTCAGATGAGAAGATCAGAACTAATTAACCCATTATACGTTCATTGTACAAAGAGAAATGAGATGTAGAAGCTTCATTGAGAGTTCTGATTATTTTTAGCCAGTAACCTCCAGGAGTTTTGTCATCACTGTGAGGTTGCCAGGTAACCAGTGGAGACTTGTTGAACAAGTCTTTTAACTTATACAACCAAAGAAAACCCGTTCTAATTTCTGCTGCCACTGGAAATGTTTTATCAGTTTTACTTCATCTTGATGGCGTCATATTTTTCTCTTTCCCTACAGGTTTCCATCTGCACCCAGGTGGCTCACGGGATGGAGCATCTGTCTAATCACCGCTTCGTCCACAAAGATCTCGCCGCCCGAAACTGCCTGATCAACAGTCAGAGGCGCGTCAAAGTGTCATCACTCAGTCTCAGCAAGGACGTCTACAACAGGTCTGCTAAAAATAGACTTTGCATTTTATAATAATCCAACACTTAAAGTGGCAGGAGACAGTTTTCTTTTTGCTTTGACTCATAATGCTATGGTAACTGTTCACTGCACAGTGTAATGGCTATAGGATAATGTGTTTAGATTGGCTCTGTGTAAGCCTCACTTTCCCTTTGCCTGCCTGTCTGGCACCAGATCTTAAATCTCCTGAGAAAATTAAAGCTAGTTTTACAGTTAAAAGAACAGAGTAACCAAAGAAATTGTACCTGGCAAAAGAAAAAGAGCGCAGTTGTCGGAGAAAAGCAAAAAAGGTGAAACGGGAGACAGAGGTAAAACAAACAAAGATTAAACCTCAGATGGTCCATCACTTGAATTTGAGTGGATTCAACGCCGACATTCATTATTGCTGCTGCTTTATCAATCAGTAATTAGTTACTCTGCTTTTTCATTGCATTTAGATCAAGATGACTGTTTCAGTTTGGGATTCTAATGATGGTTTCTTGCTTTGGATGGTAGCCAGACTGTCACTGATAGTCATGTTGCTATTGTTAGCCTTAGCTGCTGCTACTTTTCTGTTGCCACTTTAGCATGAAGTTCCTTCTTAGTACAGTCATCTGACTAATATTTTTGCTTCTATCCTCTTGTCATTTCTCTTTCGTACATGTGCACAGTGAGTACTACCACTACAGGCAGGCATGGATCCCACTGCGCTGGCTCCCGACAGAGTCTGTGTTTGAGGACGACTTCTCCACTAAGTCTGACGTGTGGGCCTTTGGAGTGTTGATGTGGGAAGTATTCAGTCATGGGGAAATGCCATATAGCAAACTCAGCGATGACGAGGTGCTCGAAGGTGAGTGTGATGCAGTAGCAGCTCACTTTTTAGTTCAGGTTTGGACATCCCTACAAGATGCATCTCAAAAGCTGAAAGTTTTCACTCAACAGGAAGTGTCTTCATCTCTCTCTGATCTGGTGGGTCTGCCCTCTTTTCTGCAGGTCTGCAGACGGGGAAACTGAAGCTACCCATTCCAGATGGATGCCCCTCCAAAATCTACAAGCTGATGGTCCGCTGCTGGGCGCTAAGCCTCAAAGAGCGCCCATCCTTCACCGACATCGTCCACGCCCTGGGAGAGCTGCCGTCTGACAGCAAAGTCTGAGATGAACGTTAGAGGGGAACTTTGACCAACCCTTCCCCTTTCCCCTAAAATAAGACAGGAATGCTGGATAAATAGTCTCACACATTTCAGGGAAGAGGGTTGAGGAGAAACTTTTTCTTTTTTCTTTTTTTTTATATGCATTTCAAAAAATACGGAGTGTGGATCAGACTTCTTTGCTACATCAGTGGAAACGCACTCGTGTCCGTGTAAATGGCTTCGTGTGAGCAGTGCCAGGAGTTTGCCTTAACCGCAGCATGGACGACCCTCCCCTCCGCTCTGTGGTTCCACTGTGACCCTGCAGCCACTCCGACTCGGAGACACTTTGTTTCACGGAGCCTCACGACCTCAGTGCCTCTACCCCTCCACACACACACACACACCTAAACGTTCACCTGCTCTGTAGGGATCCCAGACACAGTGCTTTCACTGGCTCTGATCACTAGAAATAACTGGTCTGAAGCTCAAACCCCTTTAAATTTAGGTGGAAGTCCTCACAAAACCAGAGCGAATTGAGACAGGAAAGAGGGATTTAATTGAGAACTGAAGCTTTTTAGAAATCAACCACTTAGGGAGTTTGCTAAATGAGACGTTTTAATTGTTCTGCTTCAGCTTAGAATTCAGTGAGCTGCATCGTGGATTTACTACCCCAACCCTTGATTGGTTACTATGCCCCCAGGGACCCACCAACATCCCCCAAAGTGTGTGTTTCTGTATGTGTGTGTGCACTGAACTGTTCTCAAAGAAGTGGAATGAGGGTTTTGCATGAAGGTTTGTCGTCTGTTACACCTGTGATTTGCGACACGAGGAAACTTGTGGAAAAAGTAATCCATGTTACTGTAACACTTTCAGGAACAACAACAAAAGATCAAGTTTTATAGCCAAGGAATATATTGAATAGATGAGATTGTGCCAGTGTGGGGCTTTATACATTTTTACAAGTGTGTTTTGTTCTTGTATTAACTTTGAGGTGCTTATTTGTCACAACCCGTGGGTAAGGACGCCCATTATTCCACATCATTACGTCGTCTCAGTCGCAGGGATGCAGCCTATCATCGTGATCAACCTGCGACGTCATATTTCCAGAGGTCCAATCCCAGTTTCTCTCCTGGTCCAGCTGTTTTGTGCAGTGCTGCAAAGTGGACCAGCACACCAGGCAATGTGTACATAATGTAGAAGCCATGCACTAACTTCACTTAAAAGAATATCCCTTTTTGTTTCTATCATGTTGTGTAGAAGGACATGCAGGTGCCTGTTTATTTATGATGAAGGTCCTGTCATTTTTTTAACTATGTTTATAATAGAAAGGTACTTCTGTGAGGTAGTTATGCTATGTATTCATTCTCATGGTCCATCTCGGTGTACGTTCAGTCAGCTGGATACAAAGTACAAAGGAGGTCAAAAGAGTGACTGCAGGTCACCAGAACTCATTTAAGTGCCTGGTAAATGAAGGATTATCTTAACTATTTCCCTCTTTTTACATTGTCTAATCAAATGCAATGGCCTTTTTGTTGATGAATCTGTTTTTATACGTTGTTTTTAGTGTAATGTTTTGTTTTTATGAACGCTAGGCACTCACACCTAGACCTCTTTTTTTTTTTTTTTTAACTGCTTCAGCAAATGTTCACAATAATCACAGATATATATACAAAAATATACATGCTGCTGTCAATAAAGGTTCACAGTGTTTTTACCTGATGTGTTGTAATTAATGTAGCAGATTGCCATCTTTGACTGCTTTCACAATGTTCAGATTATTGGTGGTACCTCCCACCTTTTTTCTTTTTTTATTTATGCAAATCAATTTTCAAATAATTAAAAATTGCTGGGGATAGTTAAGAAATTATAATGCATGGACTTTTTGTTTAAGTTTACACCAATCGGATCATGCAACATCTGAAACCTTGGATTCTGGCGTTCATGTCGATGTTACTTTGATACAAACCACATAAACACTGCTGCACACCAAGCATTCCTTCCTAGAGTGTACCTCACCATACCACTAAAACTGGTCGGGAACAGCTCAAGAACTTTACTGGCCTCCAAACTCCCAAGATACCCATCTGATTGAAAATTCACAGGATGTGCTGGAACAAGCCCGGTTCATAAGGGTTTCTCCCAACAACTCTCAGAACCCCAAGGATCCACTGTTTGACACCACAGGACACATTCAGAGGTCCATACCTCAATTATTTAGAGCTGCTAGTATTAAGTAGATTGTTTAATTGTTGTGACTGATCCAGTTTTGTTTCAAACTCTTTATCATGAATGTAGAAAAAAAAAAGATATTTGGCTGCTGAAACACATTACATTTCCTGTACATTACTGTATATTTAAACTAAAATTTGGTTAAAAAAAAAAAAAAAAATAGGGAAAGTTTCCTAGCATTTTTTTCTTCTTGTGCTTGTAAGCTAGAGTATCGTTACATCTTCTGTTTGCAGCTGCAATATTACAAAATTTGAGTGGAGTTTGATTAAAATAATAAATGCGGTGAAATGTTTGCTGAGGTGGATAACCAACATCCCACAAGTCTCAGCAAGGCTAAATATGAGGCTTTGAAAATACAGTTTGTCTTTTAAAAGCATGAGGAGTAAAGCATGTCCTATCACCTACTAGTTTGGGGGATGTAGTATTAAAGCCACCACACGTGATCCTTCAAAAGTACTTGCGGTCCCATTTTGCTGCTACTGAAAAACTTCTCTGATGAACCACAAGAGGGTGGTGTTAATCTTCTGAAGCTGTACAACATGACCCTTACCCTTCAAGTTATCAGACATTTTTCAGTATAATGGTGACTACAGTTAAATGCAATAACATAGACTTTTAAAGCGGCAAAAAAAGTTTCCAGTATGAATCAGTGTTGTTGTGGGTTAGCGAAAAATAATCCTATTTAAAACTGAGCTTTTAGTTTGGTGTTAAAAAGCAACACCAGGATCACTGTAGCTCCTCCTGACTCATCATGTTTGTCCTCTTGTTGTCCAGTAACCTTCAGTTAAGCCCTAAATGAATGATTAAGAAGCTCAAATTTGGTTGATAATACATTTTTACTTGACCAGCTGGTTCCTTCTGGCTGGAAATGACATAAACAAGTAAAAGACACTAAGACCCTGTACTTGAGATGTTACTATTTCTTTGTTTTTGTTTTTTTGTTTTTTTAAAAGAAAATGACAGCTTCCATATTACTGCAAATGGTCCTGGTATTTTCTAGCATATTCTACAGCCTTTTAATACCACAGTTCTCTAGTCACTGACTAGTCTACAACACATTGTGGCTAAACCCAGAGAGCTTAGTGAGCTTCCTATTATTAGAGTTGCGCATTGTAGCTGCACACAAGACGGGAAAGGTTATAAGGCCATATCTAAGTGTTTACTGGTAGCAACATGTCAAGGCAGAGGCTCCAGCAGACACTTTGCAGTACAAACATTTTGGAGTCCAGGCCTGAATCCCATTGAGAATTCTGTGAATCTGTCTGAAGACCTGAGTGTGATGGCAAAGAGATTTTCTAACAATAAAGATTTAGAGACAGTGGCAAAAGAAGAGTGAAACAAAATTCCTGCAGAGACTGAACAATGATTGATTGCTGTGGCTGCAAATGAAGGTTTTGACACTGATTACTGAGGAAAGGTATGAAAGTTAGCAGTTAAACACTATGTGAAAATGTAAAAACAGAAAAATAGTTTGAATGTATCATTAACATATTTATCACCTTCTATAATTTTTGTTATTTCCAGACAGAAGATGCAGTGTGCATTGTAAATATTTCCAAATATTATAGCATTGTGAGGGGTAAGACTTCATAAGGTTACAGTTTATTAATGCCATTCCAACTCATTCCCTACGAATGATATTATAACAGTGCGCATTTCACTGAGTTCTTCTGATAACAAAAGCACATCCACTTCAATAAAAATCCCCGCTAGCAGCTTGCCAGCAAATCATGGGTGAGAAACCTCTTTCAAATACCATAATACTTGGCATTTGTTTTAACCTGCCTGGAGTAGCAGGTGGGTGGGGTTCACTGCGTCATTTCAAACACTCTCTGATAAGTAGACCTTTCAATGAAGACATTTTAATATAATGCAATAGAAAAATAAATATCATTTAGCTGCTTGTCCTGTTATTGTGCCTGCCGGCTTACTGTTAGAGCCTGCAGGGATACTTGTAACAGCCATCAGTATTACTGTACTGTGCATTTCCTACCAGGACTAGCTCGAATGTCTGCTGCAAAAAAAGGAAAGCCCATTGCAAAATCTGTGACTGTTACAACTATGTGGCACAATAATATGTTGAATGCAACTTCCATGCATGCTCCTTAAAAAATAATTACATTGTGAGACCTTGCTGGGCCTGTGCAGTTGCATTTCTTAATGCAGTAAGCATGATACAAGCTTAATATTCAAGGCAACAGGTGTGTGATGGGTGAGTTTATTATAATTTAGGACATCTCCCTATCCGAATGTATGATCTATAATAATACAGAGCTGTATAGAGTCGTCTGTTTGGCAACACCGATTGATAAAGACGCATTTCGGAATTAAAATCTTGTGAAACGTGGTTGCGGTGTGCCACAGTACCACCTGTGGGGAATAAAAACTTGGATGTTTTGTTATTTTGGTGCCACTGCATGTCCACGGTGACGTTGTCGGTAGCGCAACCATTTTGGTATTTATTCTAATAAGCGTACCTCATCCACCAATGAGAACGCTATTCAGATAATCCTCAGCCAATCAGCAGGCGACGCTGTGACTCACCAAATAAGGAGAGACAGCACCAAATAAGGAAACATTGTATCTCTTTATAAGGAGGGAAGTAGTTCCTCGGTTGTGATATTAATCCGCCGCCTTGTACGCGGTTTTAAAATTACACATTTTTACACGCTTTGGATACACAAAAAGAGAAATATCGCGATATCAAAGGAGCGAAACGTAATATATGTGCACCAGCCGGCCGAGGCCGGGGATGCTTTCGGTTCACGGTGCGGACTAGGTGACGTGGCGCAGCAACATGGACGGCGCTCTTCGCGTTTTCCTTTTTGAGAAAGTGCTCAGACTTTTGGAAATAGAGGAGGAGGGTGAAGCAAACTGAGCCGGGGTTGAAGGGTCCTGGGGGCAGCATCACTTTCCAAAGTTTATCTCGGTAATTTCCTGGAGTCTCCAAACCACCGACCGGCCTGCTTTGTTTACATTTTGTGGCCCAGGCGTGTGTGCTATCTGTCGGTTCTCTTTCGCTACGACCCGCTCCAGCTCGCTTGGCTGGTGTTTAGACACTCGGTCCAGTAAATATAATGTTACCGAGCCAGGTTGGATCGGCACCATCTGGAAACGGTTCAGCTTCTGGCAGGGGTACCACAGGACACGGTTCGGGGCTCGTCGGCGGCGGGATTCGTCCCGTTTTGGTGAGAGCAGGGCAAGCTTTACCGGGGGTCAGCGAGAGTGCTGGTGTTGCGGGGCGACAGGGGGACCGAGACGCCGTCGGGATGCTGGGTGCGAACGGTCCAGGGGGTCCGAGAGGTGCCAGACCTGGGAACGGGACCGGGGTGAACCCTCTGCAGACCGCCGTCCAAGGCAACATGGTGGGGCTGAACACGGCGGTTGTGTTGCCTCACGGAGCCCGCTTCGACCCGGACCGGGAGAGCGCTCCTCTGTGCAGCGGCTCAGATAATGACTCGGACTCCGGGGACGATGATGACCCAGTGGGTTCACTCGGGGACACCAGGAGAGGGGTGAAGCGGGAGAGAGGGGAGATGGAGGCGGCGGTGGCGGGCCAGGAGGTGGGAGTAGCTCCCGGAGGTTACGGCATGGTGCCCGGAGGGGTCGCCGGGGCAAAGCCGGGGAAGAAGACACGTGGGCGCGTAAAGATAAAGATGGAATTTATTGACAACAAGTTGAGACGGTACACCACTTTCAGCAAGAGGAAGACGGGCATTATGAAAAAGGTGAGTCAGGTGATGCCTCTGGATGTCATCCAGCTACTGGTACATTTGATTAGTGTGTCACACATACATTGATTGACCTGATGATACTGCAGTAGGCCCAAAACACACTGTGCTGCTCTGTATCCTTTCATTCATTCATGGCAATAACAATGTGGCTGTTCACGCCTTTACAACCTGTAAAAGTGATGCCTCTGTAATCATAATAACCCCAGTAAGCACACGCTGTGAATTTTATGTACATGTCCTGATCTAAAGCTTGTGTCTATACATTTCTTATGAAAGACAAAACAATTGTGCCACTAAGTGACTCAGTGGAAGTGAGGAAGTCAGAATATTCATGACAGGGAAGAGGCTTTAAATAGACTTGAGCAAATGACAGTTCTATTTATGATCATGCTCACCCCCAGCTAACACACATAGATTTCCAAATAATTTGACACACTCATTCATGCACACACACACATCCCTTCATATACTGACTGACAGGCCCACAACTACTGCAAGTACTTCCCATCAGTGCACAGGCTGTTCCTTCCGTCACTGTGAAGCAAGGCTTTGCTTACAGGCAGCAGCCATGTGGCCGTGAGCAGCAGTGGGCCTGTATGTGCCAACAGCTGACTAAACCCCAGGGAAACAGATCAGAGGACGGTCAAAGAGCACTCAAACAGAAGCGAGAAGCTTGAGGACTGTCTGTGCATGCGTTATTGCGCCGTTCACTGACACAAGCATCCAGCTCCAACCAGCTCGGTTTCAGTTTTCTTAGTTCAATCTGGCACAGGAGCAGGTGACATTAAAGATGACAACTTGCTCCATTGTAGTTATAATTGCCTCCATTACTGTCTGCTAAGTACAAAGCAATATTTCTAGTGGAAATTTACAACTCTCCCACGCAGTTGCTGCCATTATAAAGCATCGCCATGAAGAATTTGGCATCAAGTCATCTAAAGTTGATTATTTGGAGACGAGGTCAGCTGTTGACCACAAGTGCTGCAGTGATTGCGCCGTAGACTTGGCCGCTTTTCATTATGACTTTAAACAAACACTTATAAGCCGTGCTTTATTGTGATCCAAGAGTTTTTAGTTGTCCCCGTGTTACTTCGAAGTGCCTGCACTGTGTGTTCTGTGTATTCTGCTGTATTTCTCTCTCTCTCTTTTTTATGTATCCCAGACTGTTGTCGTGGAAACTGAGGTGTCTTTATGTAGGCTCTTGGCAACATGAACACTATTTGACACACTGTGGGGATGGAGATTTTTTGAAAATGTTGCCCACACTATGCCAGCCATCACAGAAATTGACAGGTGGGTGGAGTGGGAAGATTCATAGTAGATTGGTCTCAAACTGGTTTCTAGGACAAACCCAGTTTCATTTTTGAAGGATGCTGCGAGCGAAGCGAAGGCCTGTTGGTTCTCTTCCTACTTCTGCTTCAGATTACTTGCATGTAAGCACTTGCATAATACAAATTGTTTACCTCAATTTAAACAGGATTATTCAATTAACATCTGCGGTTCCCATTTGTCAAGAAAAGGACATGTTTCCATTGTTTTGCTGTGGCTGCAACAATGGTCGACAGGCTGTTTAGAGTGCACATTTGGACTTGTTATAGGTGCACAGGTGTTGCTAATAACACAACTTGTGTGTGGCTCTGTTCCTTTTTGGATGCCCCTGGAAGCAGTGCAAAGGAAACAGCTTGCACAATACCAAGGCTCTGAAATTGGCTGAGCTTAATGGCATGCAGCCAGTAATTAATTAATGTTATTATTTGCACCTGAAGCTCGTGTTATTACATATTTAGTGCTGAAACCTTTAGTTATTGACATTTGCTGACTGACAAAATTAATTCAGCAACACTTTTGCTAATCAAATAATGGTTTGTCAAATATTTAGTGCCTCCAGCTCTTAATGTGAAGATATGCTGATTTTATGCTGATCACTTTAAATGTAGCATTTTGGTTCAATAAACAGTTGGCTGACAAAACAACACAATTTGAATACACTACCTTAGACTTCAGCATCTTTCAATGCAAAGTTTATTTGTTTCGATACTTTTATATTATAAAACCTACTTTTTTTTTTATCTGAGTAAAAATTGTTCAACTTCCCAGTTTCCCAGAGTCTAGGGTGACATGTTCAAATAACTTGTTTTCTATAACCAGTCATACAAAACCTAATTTACAGTAACACACGTGACCACCGAATCTCTGTCTGAGAAGCTGGAGAAACAGTTGTCTGCAAGAATTAATACTAAAGGTTATCAAAATTTTTGCCCTAAATTTCTGTCAGTCAGCTAATTTCAATCAGGGGTGGAGATCACAGAGGCCCACCATAACAATGCTATCACAAAACAGCGATTGTGCAACACTCTGTACATTGCAAGACAATCCTCAATGATTCATCACAATATCTGTGTAACTAGAGAAGAAGAAAAAACAACCCTAATGACCATGTGTACATTACTTCATTATTACTCAAATATTTCATTTAATTAGCTCACTGATTTACTGTCACACTGTTACACACCCCCTGTGAGTTTTCTTCTTCTTCTTCACTATATGTTATTTAACTTCTGTTCACTTCACCCTCAGGGATTTGATAACCGTCACCACGAGCAGTTGTGAAATATTGACTCTAACAAATCAATTTGGTCGTGGGAGTCTGTTTAGAGCTCCTGCATGTAAAGTGAAAATATTGCTGTTTGGTGCCAGTGTATCAATACTGCAAGAAGTGACACTAAATATTTCCACATTGATCTTTTTTCCATCCCAACTTACTTATATATACAAGTTGCTTTGTAGAGCTACAGATCTTGAATCCACCTTTACAGGAGAACCAGCAGCTTAAGTAATTATACCTAACATTTGTTTATGACCAATATTGCAGACATACAAGAAACCCCGAAAAATAAGGCCATGTTAAAAACTAGCCTTGTTTTTATTAGTTTTAAAAAAAAAATGTACAACTACCTCACAGATACAATTTGTTTGTGAATGTGCTTTTTTCTTAGTTATCTGATAAATCGTCTTGACTGTAAAGTTTTGTGTGGCTAAGGAACCAATTACAGCTAGAGACGCACCACCTCCACAACACACCCTGCAGTCATAAATATTTATGTGAAAATCAGCAGAGCAAGGAAACTTATTAAAGCATTGTGTAGGTCTAGTTTGTGCTGCCACATAGCACACTTAAGGTAACAAATTAGTCCTTTTTTGTCTTGGATGTTGGCCAAACATCGGGCTCTGTAGTTGGAGACCCCTATGTAGCTGGAGCACAGCTAATCAGGGGGAGAGGATGGTTGAAAAGATGACTGGAGCGGTGTAGTTCATTACCTGACTCTGTTAAGCTGAGTTAACACACAGTGAGGTGACTTGTACAACCAGACAGAAAGCTCTATTTTAATACGAATCTTCACTGCACACAAAAAAGCTCTATAATTGAAATTTTCAGTGTTCAGGTGAAACAAGAGCAATGTATCATTGAACCACTATCGTAACAGACGCTCGTCATTAGCCTTTATGTTCTCTGTCGCCGTATTATTGCACACAAAAGGCAATTATATGGTCAGCTTCAGCCCGCATGAACCCAGATAGTGAGGACTGGACTGATACGGTTCATAATGAACACAGCGTTAGAGAAGAGAGAGCGTGGTGGAGCAGACTCAGACGAGTACACAGTTTTATAACTGCTCAATAAAATCCTTTAATTTGAATGTGATTCATCTCCTCCTCCTTGCTCTGTCTGACAGCGTATTGCACTCCAGCTTACAATGGCACATCTGTCAGCTAGCTGCGGCTATACTGTGTTCACCAAGGTGATGGTAATGGCACTGTGCCTTCACGGCATCAGAAGCATCCTCCACATAACTGATGACTCATTTAGATGAAAAGGCTTTCTCAGGAGTTCACTCTGAGTGCAGCATCGGGCAGCGTTTGGTCTTGTGTGTTGGAAGGAGTTGAATCTTGGTGCGCTTTTCCTTCACACTTGGGAGTTTGAATGTGAGCATCGACACGCTCTATAATGAATGACAAGGCTGCAGAGTGTGATGGAGACCTCGCGTTTTACAGCCAGCTACCTCCACGTGCCAAGAAAGATTCCTCATGTCCTTTGTCAAGACTGGGCTACTACTATTCCCCCTGCCTATACAAACCAGCCCCTTGCTGCAATCAGTCTCTCAGCTATATCACACTCTATTCTGGGAGCCTTATCTCATGTTATTTTAGTTCATTTGTGCTATACGTCAGAGTTCACTACAGCAGTATTTATAGATTCTAGTGCTTCCTTGGCTTTTTCTCCCAAGATTTATGTTTGGAATCTCTTCTATTCCCTCCCCTGTTGAGATTAATTTGTGCAAGATGTGAAGGTAATCCAAGCCCTAATTTGGTGAACTGTATCTGTTTGATGTTTGAATTCTAGCTGCACTCTTGGCCTCTTCTTTCGGTCAAATGCTTAAATTTTCTTCTTTATCTTTCCTAGGCATATGAACTCTCCACCCTGACAGGAACCCAGGTTCTGCTGCTTGTGGCCAGCGAAACGGGTCACGTCTACACTTTCGCCACCCGCAAACTCCAGCCCATGATTACCAGCGAAACAGGCAAAGCCCTGATCCAAACATGCCTCAACTCCCCAGACTCACCGCCCCGCTCTGACCCCTCCACAGACCAGCGCATGAGCGCCACGGGCTTCGAGGAGACGGACCTCACCTACCAGGTGTCTGAGTCGGAGAGCATGGGCGACACAAAGGTGAGGGAAGAAACATGAAGGAAAACATTAAACATACGCTCACAGATAGCAATGCCACAGCTGTCAAACACATAAATTGAATGTACTCATTTCTGTACGAGTCCCTGCAGCCCATCTCCCCTGCGATCAGCAACAACTAAAATCTTTGTGACTCACAGTCTGCTCTCTAGTGGAGGCATGAATTGCAGTGTGAATTTAAAAAAAAAAACTGATAAAGCACCATTGAGACTCACTAATGGATATAGTGGGAAATCTCTCCAGAAAAGGCCAGCATACGCGGAGAACAAATAAATCAAACCCACAAGCAGCTGTGGAAAATAATCTTTGTCCTTTTGTAAACACAGTTTTGAACTTTTGCCTGTTACATGCGAGGCCTCTGGTGCGGGCTTGTGGTTTGGTTCTGAGCACCAAACCATTTTTTAATTAAACCAAAAAAGTCTTGGTAGTCCTTCAAAGGGCTCTGGACTGAAGGGAGAGCAGGATAAGAAGAGAATTATCCTATTCTACGAAAGGGAGCTGTCTACACTTTACCTTTCTGACCTCTCATCCAGGAAAGCCTCGTAACACTCCTAAAGATAAATCACTGCAGGTCTGGGCTGTGTTAGGATGAGAAACATGCAACCTGCTATATGGAGGACTTTGCTGTTTATATTTAATTTTGGGATGGAGCTGTCTTATGTTCGTGGATAAAACTTTGAGCTAGTTAAACAGAACTTAAAATATTGGAATATTACACATTTTGTGCAGTTTCCATACTTCAAAAAACCATCACTACAGAAATAAGTTGATTAAGAGTAATAAAAGACGAATTTCCACTGAATTTCTCATGATGAATATTAGTTGATCGTGCGACCTGTTCTCATCCTGTCCTTGTATTTCTTGGTGCGACACCACAAGTGTTCTAAAAAGTCTGAAGCAAAGCAATAAATTTATCAGCAGACACACTTCGCTGTCCACACCTTCGTGCGATCACGTGCTGGAGACTGAGATTCCCATCCACTGTTTACTCAGCTCAAGCATGCCCCCTTTGAAGACGGACACTTGCAGGCCTGTTTGCCCGCATGCTGTTTTTACAGGGTGCTAACTAACGTGCACCATACACCGACAAGGATGAGAGATCAACCTTTGCATGTTAAGCCACTCTCATGCCCGCTCTGCTCATTGATAAAAATTAGATTCTGCCTCTGTTGCCATATATGGTATGGTTTCCCTGCCTGCACTCTTGGCTGAGGCCCCTCACATTCCTTATAAGCTGCAGCTGTCTTTGGAGTCCTGTGATTTCCCCCCCCCCACCACCACCACCACCACCGCCGCCGCCACCACCACCCCACCCCCCACTTCTCATTTAGTGATATGGAGAGGAGGTATGGATGTAGATATGAGCAGGGTGCAATGGAAACATGTGAGCAATACTTTTCATCCTGTGGCATCTATTTAGGTAGGCTGGCAGTGACACGGTGACCTCTGCCCCCTCATCTGCGGTTATGGGAGACCAGCATTGGCCCCCGTCAACCCTTAAAAACACTAGAAATCGTCAGGATCAGCACTGTTATGGTTAGGACATGGCAGGTGGATATGGAGCCCCCGATTTTGAGGGATCGCTTCTGTGCAGAAGGTCCTTTGCGTGGTTGTTGCGTGAACCTCTGCAGCGTCTGGACACCATTCATCATGAGAGTAGTATGTCGTGCATATAGTCCAAGCTAGTCTAAACAATTTGGGGTTTGCAATGGCTGGTGGGGGAGAGTTTTGAGAAGGAAAAGAGGCAGGCTAAGGAGATAAGTGAGGTAGACATGATTTGGTGCTGTTAGCATTTCACATAAAAATCATGTGTCTGCTGATATTACAGAACTAAAATGCTGTTGTCTGTAATACTGTTGCACAGTTAGAAGAAAAGTACAATAAGTGGAAAAACGTTATTGAAACATTAACAATTGTTTGTTCAATGCATTGACTGGCCCTCCATGTATGAAAGTTTCCAAATGGCGATGTAGCGAGGTAGTGCAGAAGTGGAGCTGAGTCTGACCATGCAAACGTGACACTCAGCTGTCACTTTAATTATGCATAATTTTACTTAGTCCAGTTTAAATGGGTGACTTGTATACAGTTGTCACAAATGGGAAATTTGCTATAGAGACCAGAATCTTTTTTTTGTACCAGGCTATAAACATGTTTATTTCTACAGCAAAGCTGGGCCTTTTAACATGGAGGTCTATAGGGATTCACACATTTGTAGCATTTGTAGCCAGCCCCAAGTGGCCAATCAATCAGCTTCATGGTGGCTTCAGTTTTCAGCCCTGGAGGTTGCCATTTGGTTTAATGTCACACCAGCTAGCAGTTACCTGGCTCAGCTTTAAGACTTGAAACTGGGGGAAACGGCTCTGTTTCAACCAGAGAAGAAGTAATGTGCTGTCCATGGGACTATTTCTTGACTGAGAGAGTTCACTTTGTAAAGACTCTACTGGTTTTCTGACAGTGTCACAGTGAAGACAGCTTGAAGTCACCATGATCGCCAAGAACCAGTTCTTCACATAATCCCCTGTTGAACCACAATGACACTCGTGTTAAATTAAACTTTAGAGGTGCTGGTTGGTGGATTTTGTCAACTTTGAACAGAACCAAGCTAAATGTTTGCTTAAATTTCCAGGCAGGGAAGCCATTTTAATATGGTGAAAATTTGAACACACAGAGGTGCAACAGAGTTGAGTATTGTTTTTCAGTTGCTTAAATAATTATTTTAAAATCAGATTTTAGTGTTAGTCTTTATAAGCTGTAAAATCCATCCTGTGTTATTCAACATATAACAACATGGATGAGTTGGCCTGATAGAAAATTCATGTACTCTAAATAATCAACATTTTTTTCCTCTTTTCTTCAGCATTTAAACCTTCCCTACAATCAGACTGGTTGAATCCATTACTAGCTGGGCTGTAATTTATCTTTGCTTCTGTATTCTACTGTGGGAAAACATGGTAGCTGCTCTGGAAATGCCATCAAACTTCTCCTAAACTATTTGTAAAATTAGTTGGCCCAGGCTTATTTCTAGAAAAATCTACATTTAACAGCAGTATCAGTTTATTATTCCTTTGAGAGTGCCTTCATTTGAGCAGAGAGGAGTCTTAAGATGATAGGACATAAAGTTTAAAGTGTGTGACTCACTTTATGTGTGGAAAATCGTCACTTTCGAATGCTATGGCTCTATCAGCACACATAAAACTAACAGCTGATGGCAACACGCTCAACACGGTTCTCTAGGGGCTGCTGGAATTAATTCTGGGAAATGTAGCATCTGATATAGAGGTGAAGGAGGTAGATTGAATTGAAAATAGGATACATGAGAAACAGACGGTCGGAGAGGCTAGATTTGTTGCTCCTCATGCCTTCCCGGCATCCCCCAAAAGATTTTTGGATTGTTTATGGTTAATTCTTAATGCTAGACACGTCTACAGTACAGATGTTTTTATGCTTTTTGGGTTATTTTTGGAAGGGGATAGCAAATCCCACAACTCATGCTCGCTTAGAGGATCTATCTTAGCGCTGAATTCTCAGTATCACAGTCTCCTCTGGTTTTCCCCTCCTCCCTCCCTCACTTTTTCCCTCTCCTTTTCTCCCATACTTCATCCCTCTCTCTCCATCACCCCCCTACTTGCGCTGGCTGTCAGTGTCATTGCTGTTGCAATCTCGGAGGAGTTTGTTTGTTTGCCTTGCTCATTAGTGCACATCCCGGCACTGACCAGAAAATGTCCAGTCTCAGGCCACTGTCCTGACCAGCAGCTGGCATGTCTGTTTTCCCTGCAGTTTTGCTGCGGAGACATCTCACGACACATGTGACAGCCTAATTATTCAACATTTTGCACATCTATAAATGTGTATGAAGCATATTGGCTGTGTTGGAGGGGGAGGAGGGCAACGTTATGTCACCCACCCCCAACCCCCTCCTCCACCCCCTTATTTTACAGCAAGCAACTGGACAGGTCAGCCGCCATTGGCTGCACCTCCTCCACTTGGGCTGCCTTGCCTTTTTTAGCAGTCCCAAATGGAGCTGCAAATTCCATGTTGCTGGCAGGGTGACAGACTGGGAGATGGGAGCCAGCAAATGGGAGATTAGATGAGGGCCAGCCACCAGTAAACTGCACAATGGGCTCTCCAACCAACACCAGACTAGCCTGCCAGTTGTCACCTTCAATTTGGAATGATTAATCCCTCATGAATAGAGAATCATTTGTGTCCTTCGCCTTTTAATTACGCTCTCATTTCCTCTTCCTTGAAAATGGAATCCTTGTCTGATGCATGTGAATGTTTGGAGGGCAATGGAGGCTTTTAAACTTTGACCATATATGGAACCTTTTAAGAATGCACACGATTTGAGAAACCAAAATATTGAAAGAACTTATAAAGAGCTGTTAGAAAATGTCCTGCATGTCTAAGTGTCGTGGCTCTCATGGTTTGTATTTATTAGATTCTGCCTTCTGATCCTTTTATATTGGGGTTTTCACAGTGAATATAGGAGGGACAGAATGTGTAACACTTGAGATCTCTCAGTGGCTGGAGTTAAATAATGTTCCTGTCCTCTAAAATGGATTACATAGCAAGTTATGATGGGTACTCTCAGTGGCTGTGCAGGTTGACTCCAGAGGATTCATTGCTTATTCTAGACGACTCAGCCCTCCACACGCACAACTATAAATTGTGACTTCAATTGCTACATTCTGGTACCTCATTATGCTAAGTGTTTCCTCAGGTCAGCCTCTGGTTTGTTGTAATGAGTGTGATGAGAAGTAGAGAGGCAGATTCAAAGCGAGTGGTACAGAGGTAAACTGGGCTGCAGTGCCCTAAAGGAAAATATCCTAAAGACCGATAGTCTTAAAATAGCTTAAAATATACAGTTTACTATAAAATAAGATAAAGAACAGTTGAAAATCCTGAAAATAAAGAAGCCAGAATTTGGCATATTTGCTTAAAAATTACTTTAATTTTCAAAATAAATCGAAGAAATTAACTTG